CGAGACACCGTGTATCTTAACGCGAGTCGGACATTTGAGTCTTTATAATATTTCGAATTCTCAATAACGGCTGAAGCAATCGAGTTTATACTAGACTTAATCGATAGATTGAGTTTGAATTATATAATAAAAGTGTCTTTATTTTTGCTCTACGTGATTTGTAAGCAGAGATATATAATTGCAAAGTCGAAATATGAAAAATTTCTTTTAAGAAACGTCCCCGTCATCATTATTATCATCATCGACCACGCAAACATAGTAGTATCGTGCTACACGTATTCACACGTATACAACACATGCGCACACATATATTACACGTACACAACACATGAATAGATGCATGTATTGGAAATGTCCATCTCGCACGTTTTACAACAGACGGCGATAGTTGCCCTCCGCTATATTGACAGCGTGCGGGGTTAGATATTTTCAATTTTCAATTTCAATTTTTACATTCAATTTTAATGTTATTATTTGCAAATTTATTGTCATAATAATTTATGTGCAAGTTTACAGTCTGTGATACAAAATCAGATATTTTGCTATTATTTCAATAATATTTCAATTATATAAATGCCTATGTATGAGTATGCATATATTTTTAATAATTTTCTTAATTAGCTTCTATATTTTTTCAGTTGTACATCAAGCAGGTAGCATTATCAGCTCACTTGTGAGCATGGGTTGGGCATTGGCTAGTTATCATCGCAGCATTCGATTAGCTTAACAAGATAAATCTAATATCAGTGCTATAGGAACTATTTTACAATTTTTCTGGCATTTTCTTATTGCAGGTACATATATATCCAATAATTAATATACAAAATTAAATATTATTCATCACACACTTTGTATCAAAATAATATATTTTTTTAAATTTATTTTAAATTTATTTAATCATTTTTATCATTGTGATTGTAGTGGCAAGGATCTTATTGCTCAGTGTCATTGCAAGCATCTGGCCTGTATATACCATAATATATTGTGTAATACATTGGCTAAGTATGACAATATAGATTTTGATAGATTCCCATGGAATATTGGAATTTTGTCGGACTTACAGTCATCCACCACATATGCAGCCTACAATTAAAGAACGCATTTATTCCATATGATTTGCTTCCGTTATTGGAATATTTAAAATAAAAATTTTATTAATAAATTTCGATGAAATAATTTATAAGAGGTTGAAGAAACTATGAAACAAATTCAGTGCCATAAAAGGGTAGTTGGAACAATAGTGGTGAATGCAGAAGGTATTACATGAGATCATTGACATGATTTACTTGTAGTTGTAAACAAAAATTTATAAAATTATATTTGTTTTAGGTATTCCTATAAAGTCAACATTAGATAATACGACAACAGTTCAATACGCAGGTTTGATAAGTCAATTGTCAGATAAAGCTCGTTCTGTCGTACGTGACTTGAATCCAACAAATGATTTAACTTTCTTGCGCATACGTAGCAAAAAACATAAAATTATGATGGCACCAGATAAAGAATTCATATTAATAGTAGTACAAAATCCAGTTGATTGATATTTAAAAGAAACAAAAATATATTTCAAAGTTAAGATTTATTTTTTTGGTTGTTAATTTAATCTGTATGCTACATTGGATGTTAATATCTATTCAATTAAATAAAGAAAAATAAAAGAATAAAGCTTAAAAATTATACAAAATGCAGTATTTAATTACTAATTTAACAAATTATGAACTTTTAGAGTTTTTAAATAGTGCTTTCTTCTTTGGTAACAATATTATATTTTTAAGTTTGATAATTATGAAAATATGTATATATAGTAATTCATGGCATGTTTATTTTTGTATTTAATACAATTATAATTGTACATTTCTCATCAATAAAATATCACAGTATCTTTTTTATAATTTAATTTTAATATTGAGATTGTTTTTATTCAGTGGAAAAAAAAATGTGTAGTTGGTCCCTATTAATTATACATACATATAAGAGTGTCGCACAAATAATTCTATGCAGTCTTTTTAAGATAATATAAAAATACTTATAAATATAATCAATTACAATACATATAATCAAAATTGTATGTATTAAAATTCAATAGCATATAAAAAAGATTTTTTAAAATTATATATATATAATAAAAATCCAACATTTTATATATATATATATATATATATATAAATATAAATATATATTTATTTATTGTATATCATAAATATATATTTATTTAAATATAAATTAACATATATAAGATAGGCAATAAGAGCCAAATCGCGGATGACAGTGCGTTATTCTAAACGAAACTAAATTTTTTCGTTAGAATTAAATACCTGTGCACAAGGCACCAAATTTTTACTTGGACACGGCCAAGATATAAAATTGGAATAATCTCTACAAGAGATTTTTAATTCCATGTATCCCCTATTCCCCCTAAAGAAATAAAGTGCGAGAGAAAAATATAGATCCGAAAGTCGCAGAATCGGGAATCGAACCCGAGACCTTTCGCTTGCCGGGCGACTGCTCTTCCAACCTTTCGCCCGGGCGACTGCTCTTCCAACCTTTCGCCCGGCAAGCGAAAGGTCTCGGGTTCGATTCCCGATTCTGCGACTTTCGGATCTATATTTTTCTCTCGCACTTTATTTCTTTAGGGGAATAGGGGATACATGGAATTAAAAATCTCTTGTAGAGATTATTCCAATTTTATATCTTGGCCGTGTCCAAGTAAAAATTTGGTGCCTTGTGCACAGGTATTTAATTCTAACGAAAAAATTTAGTTTCGTTTAGAATAACGCACTGTCATCCGCGATTTGGCTCTTATTGCCTATCTTATATATGTTAAATTTATATTTATATATTACAGAGCCTAGTTAAACTCTTATATTTATTTATTTATATTTACCTATCTTTTTTTTTATATATATGGTAGAAATACAATGTATGAGTTATTTTATTTTGTAAAATTTTTGAAAGTTAAACTATTAATTACAATGAAATTATTTCATATAATACCGAGATTCTTTTCATAATAAAGATTAAGAGAGAGTTAGATTTTATCATAAGATTTATAAAAGTCATAAGATAAGGTTAATTGCATATTGTATAGTTTATCTCTCATTTTTTAAAGTAAATAAATATCAAAGTTACATTGCTTGAACTGGTGCGTTTGAAGTATGTTGTCTTTTTGAGGGATGCAAGACAATATAGTACAAAAGCATTGCTGTAATTCCCAAGAAAAAGGAAATAATACAAATAATAAAGATTATATTAAAGTACTAAGCCTCTTTAACTGCAGGAGAACAAGCATATTGCCATAATAAATTTGCTGCAATATTTTCAAAAAAGCAGATAACATAGAAAGATAGATGTTTTCAAAATGTTTTGCTATCTACAGCATTGAGATATATAAAAATGTGCACTATGCCAATAACGGAAGCAAATAATATGGAATAAATGCGTTCTTTAATTGTAGGCTGCATATGTGGTGGATGACTGCAAGTCCGACTGCAATGAGTTTAAAAGTAACAATTTAATTTTAATATCATTAGAATATTATTTAGCAGCGCGCCCAGTTTTTTTAACTAAAATTTTTTTATTTCTTTTTATTTTATATTAATTTTAAATTTGCATAAGTTTTTAAATTTTAATTTTTTATAAAAATGTTTATTTATTCGCGCAATAATTGGACATTACTTTTTGTAGAGATATTAATTTTAGAACATAAATTTTTGTCAATTGATAGATTTTTTTACTTAAAAATACTTTTTTGTTTAACACTTTTTCACATGGCGCATGGACTTGGCATCTTGTTTATCTTTTTTTTTAAAAGATAAGTTTTTTTATGGTACAATTCTACATTTGCAAATTTAAATTTTTATTGATTCATTATACGACTCTATATATGTCTGCAACTTTAATTTTCCACTGGTACAAGTTTCTACTTTCACTTGGCGCAATTTTTTTTTTATTTCATTACTTTTGTTACGATTGTACATGGGTTTATAATCGATAATTTTTCATACAATTCTATTGTACATGGGTTTGCAATGGATAATTTTTGTTAATGGCGTGCCCTTAACTGGTCGCCTTTTTTTACCTTTTTTTAAAGGTGAGTTTTTAGAGATTATTTTTAAAGACGCGAGTTACCTCTCTGCGATATGCGCGACATATTTTCGAATATTGTAAAAATATTTTGGAAATATTTCCCGGATGTTACTCTTATTACTCACAATTACAATCGTCGAATAATACATACAACCAGAAGAATCATATATTTGAGAAGGTTACAGGTTATCAGAGAGATGATAATATAGCATTCGATATAATTTTCTCTTTTCCACCGTAAAAAAGCTCTTTTGTTAACCAGGAAAAATTGACGTTTTCCAAATATCATCTCGCCCGGCTCTTGCACCATTTCCTGTCAATAACGAAAAGATCCGCGCTTTATGGCAAGATTCAGGGATAAAAATGCATTCTCATATGTGTGTGCAGGCAGGGCATTTAGATTGTAGATATTTCCAAGCGATATTTCAGAGATCGGAATATCCTTTCAGGGATAGAAGTCTCTCCTCTCTCTCTCTCTCTTTAGATCCGGTCGACAATCATCGGTGCTTCTGCCCACATCCGGCGGAAAATTCGCGGATTATGGAGCCAGAAGAGAAAGAGAGAGAGAGAGAGAGAGTCACCGGACACCGGAAACGCGTTCCACGCACGGAAGCGTAGGCGTAGAGCGTGCGTAAGCGCGATTTCTCTATGTAAGGGCGTTACAATGTACGTTGCGTCACACGTCCGCCGGTTTTCCGGATAGGGCAGTGTAATTTGGCGGCGCGGCGCCTGCGCCGCGCAAGGCGGGTCCAGGTCAACGGCAAGAACCCAGTCTAGTCGCACGACGAACGTTCAGCTGGCCTGGTTGCGTTGCGTCGCGACGCTCCACGAGTCGCTCCGAGTCCACGAGTGCCCCGCGTTTCTCTTTCTTTTTCTCTCCCTCTCCTTCCCCTTTTTCCACTCTCTCTCTCTCTCTTTCTGTCTCGCGCGCGCGCTTTCGTCCTCTTTCTCTCTCTCTCTCGCTGTTTACCCGACTACCCCTTCTCGGCGAAACCTCTCCCGCCGACGAAAATTCGAAGCAACAGGACGCGCGTCCTCCGAACGAGGAAGGAATCGGAGAGAGGAAATCTGCCGCGAAAAATTTTTGTCTCGGCCCGCGCGAAAAGAAGAAGAAAAGTGAGAAGAGGGTGAATGAGCGGCGACGAAGGAGACGAGCCGCGATAAGATCCAGGATCCAAGATCGATATTCGAGGCGGAGCGCGCGAGATCGCGTCAGTCGGTTCTTCAAGCGCCAGGAAGTTGTTAATCCGTTAACTCGTTAACTAGCGGCTAGATAAGAGAGGACGGATAAACGAAGCCTCTGAAAGGGGGAAAAAGAGATCGACGGGCTCGAATCTCTCCGCACTCTAGTGCTGTGAAACTGTCTGGTGATGCGTGATCGAACAACAACTTCCTCGGAGGAGGCTGCCGTTCCTGCTGACGTCACTTCCACTTCCGTCGACGACGGTCCCGCGAGCGAGCTGGTACGAGGAGGATCGTCGATCGATATCGACGGCGACGGGACGACGGATTCCGGCCTGTCGGGATATTCGCATGCGACGGCTTAAGCCGGTAGGTGGGTGATTCTCTCTCTTTCTCTATCTCTCTCTGTTTTTCTTTCTCATTTTCTGCGCCTCTCTAATGGGAAACTCGCACGCCGAGAGAAAAGGATGGAGAATAAAAGCTCCCGAATGCAACGAGCGGCGAGGAGGAAATTGTCTCGTATCGACCTCTTTCGAACGTGCGCCGATATAATGACTGATTAATTTTGTCGACTTTTTCTCTCGTTAAGTGAGCAACGAGTCGTTGGATTAAAAATTGATATACGATGAGTAGCGAAATTGGCCGACCGGACATGGAATTCTTGTAGATAACCTTGTGGACCATATATACATCGAGAAAAAACATCGTCGATGACAAACTCGAATGTATAGACACGATAGGAGGACGGAAGATGTATACGTTCTCCTAGCAAAGATTCTACTTGAGTCTGGTCGGGGATGCGCGCATAATCATATCGCATTGTAATATTTATGTCGGAGAGCGAGTCACAGGGAACAGTCCGAGGTCACAGAGAGACGGCTTATTGTAATGCTCATTGAAGAACGCGGAAATAATTGATTAAAGCCTTTTTAAAAGCTACTCCAAAGCAAAGTCAAGTCACGGAGTCGATAGAAATTGCGTACCTAAAATACTTAATAAATTATATTAGAGTATTACATGTATAAAGGTATGTATGTATGTATATGCATGTCACGAGTGTGCTAGGGTAAAAAATAATGGCACAATAACAACGTTCTATTTTAACTTTAGATGAGCGTCTTTTCCGAGCAACTAATAAAAGTATAGGAAAGAAGGTAAAGACGGAGTGTAGTTACAACAATAGTTTGCATAAAAATAGTTACAAGTTACAGGAAGTTGTACGTTAAACTTAAATGAGATGGGATAAATTTTCGCAAAGAAAAAAATGTATATTCGAACTTGACAAAAAGCGTAAATGTATGATTATAAATTTTCCATATATTTTACACACTTTTGATTCCTAATTGAGGTACGAGATATTTTCTGTTCACTTGTATTACATCTCCCGATTCCTTCTATATATTTTTTATCTCTTTTCATTCTATATCGCATATAGCTCCCTAATTTCCATGTAAATAATGCAGAATACAATTACATTTGTGCGAGCAACATTCATGAGTGCGAGATGTTGTTCTTGCAATCTCTTTCTCTAAATCCTGAGAGGATGCAGCTTCGCAATCTCATTAACTGTATAAATTATTGAGCACAAATATATGTATGTACATACATACATATACATAAAATATATTTATAAATACAGAATCAAGAACACGATTCTTTTTTCATTTATCAAGTCGTTAAGTCAATTAGTTTGTGATATCGTCTATAAATTATTAAAAACACGCGAAACAAAGGAAAATAACATCTACATATACACATATATACGATGCCGAGAGTTAAGAAAAATATCCAAAGAGGTGCTTCGAAAGAACTGCATTATCGCGCATTATTACATTTATCAAATGCTGCACTTGCACATGTTGTGTGTGTACATGTGTATGCGCATTCGGGAGAATGATTTATTTCAAGTAAAGAATAGAAATTAGTCGTTTTTCCGTGCCCGGCGACAATCTTGTCGCAGCACGAAAGCTTCGAAACAAATGGAAATATCATGGTAATATCATGTGCCACTATTAATTATCCTTATACGTTGAGCAGTATATACACGCGTCCCTCCCTATCAACTCGTATATTCGCGAGGTATTAATGCAACCGCGACCTTTTTTTTCCCTTCCTAATGTACAGGCGCTCCACTTCCTTGGCTGTTTTATTTCGACCTCGAGTTGTGTCGAGTAGTTACGGAACGAAATTATTCCGGCGTAATGCGATCGTATATATTTCAATCTGCGAGCGAATAATCTTTAACATCGTCTTAGGAACTTAATTCTCGCGAGACGATTCATTATGCAGAAATTTTAATTAATCAATACAATATATCTCGTATATATACAGTGTGTGTGTGTGCTTTAAACAGACGCGATTATTTAAGTAAAGATTGCACTCCGGGCGAGTGATTTCCGATCTCGGATACTTGGAAGCAATCACGTGAGTTCAGGATGTCCAGCAAACTCAATGAAAAAAATTCCCTGACTTTTTCAGATTTTCCAAGACCAGAAATTATTTTTTTCCCTGACTTTTTAGTATTATTTTTTCAAAATATATAATTTGCATATATCTGTATGATATACAAATCAATTAAATGTTAAACCATGAAATTATTGAAATATTTTTATCAACAATGAAAAGGTTCGGAACAAAAATTTAAATCAATTATACAATCTGCATTATGTACGATAATCGGAACAAACGTGTCACTATAAACTATTTAAATAATCTTTGTTATTAATATTATATCAATTTTTTTAGTTTTATCTCTATTAACACATTAAAATAAAATAACACGAAGATGAAAATATAAATTAACGAACACGCTGTAGATGAATCGATTTTTAACACAGAAAATTAGCGTGCTGGGAGTTAAGGAAAAGTTTTGTATTTATTTAATAAAAAGTTTCAAATTATTGAGACAAATGTAGAATAACGTAAAAAATTCAGATAAATGGTAAAATTTCCTGATTTTTTCCCTAATAATTCCAGATTTATAAAATACCCTGACAATATCCAGTTTTCCAGATTTCCCTGACCGCTAGAAACTCTGGTTATGCAGAAATTTTAATTACTAAATTATATATCTCGTATATATGTGTGTGCTTTAAACAGACGCGTTTATTTAAGAAAAAAATTGCACTGCGGGCGAGTGATTTCCTATCTCGGATACTTGGAGGCGGCCACGTGAATTATTCACTCGTCCCTGGAAGAAAATCCAGCGGATGAAATAGCGATTACGAGAAAGGGAGGAAGAGTGAAACCTCTTCCTTATACAATGAGATTAGCGGGATTTTATGAACAATGAAGGATGAAGCTTTTTCACGGTAAAATCGCGAATCGAGCTTCCAGTTGTTTCGTTAAAGGCACACGACGCGATCGAACTTCCGCTAAAACCCTTCAGGAGAAACTTGTGAAAGAAACCGCGCTTTGACACACGAATGAACCTTTAATAAATCCTCGAGACTCCGCGAGGCGAATGCAATATCGTCTCCTGGTTTTCACGCGTGTCGCAATATAAAGCTCCAAAAAATCCGCGAAAGACAGAGAGAAAGAAACTTTCTGACGAAAAATAAAAATTCCCGCTATCGGATAAATACGTTCACACTACATCGGCCAACTTTCCGTTACACTTTTGCGTCCGGGGACGCGATGACCAGTAGGTATACATACCTATACAAGAGTCGATAGGGAAAAAAAAGAAACAGACAGATAGGAAAGAGTCGTAGATCTCCCCACGACTGCGATACAAAAGGAGAAAAAAAATAAGAGTTTTCGCGCTTGACGTTGCTACACGCGGAAATGAAACAAAAAGAGCCGAGAGAATTTTGCTGAATTTAAAAAAATCTCCGTTTCGTACACATATAAGCGCTATAAAAAAAAAAAAAACGCTATTCTCTATACGATAAGCTCGGTCCACGGCTCGAATAATAGATGCAAAGTCCGGTTCGCGTTAGAGACGCGGGTTGCATATTTCCTTCAACATCCGTATGCATTTTGCTCGTCTGCGTTCCGACGCTTGCTCTTTCCGGTAGACGGTGATAACTCCCGTTAGACACGACGCCGCATCCCACCATCCGCCCTAATTCTGGCTCTCTCTCTCGGCTACCAGCCGCGTTTTATGCATTTCTGCCTGTCTACCTGCCTCGCGGCGTCGCTCTCTCACGGTCAACGGATACGTTCGTGTGCGTAAGATCTCTCCTCCATTGTTCACGGGAGCTCTCGGCGCGCATGCCGTAAATTACTAAACGTATTTCAATGTTGCTACCCGTGCGCGAAACATGCACACCCTCGCCGTCTATCAATGTGTACATGTATAATAAATATATATATGTATATATATTGCGCGTATAGAGATAACGCGGAAAATGTAACGTTTCCGAGAAAACGAAGAGCTCTATATGGTCCCGCGCAAATTGCAAGATGTACGGTGTATTATGAACGAGTAGTACAAGCTACGGAAGCTTTATGAACGGATATACGGTGATATCTCATACAAATAACGGATTTACACGGCTTTGCAGAGAGAAAAAGAGAGAAAGATATAGATATATCTCTCTGGTAATATACGTCTGTAGAGTAAATAAAGGAACGCTTTTTGCGAACGACTTAATTTCGAATTCGCCGAGTGCTTAATTTTGCATTCCTCCGATTGAAAATCGCAGCCTCGCGTATAACGCGTGTTTAAAATAGCGTAGGTCATCGTATCGATGAACGATGTTATTGACAAGTCGACGATTAAAATAGCGTAGGCAGGCGCGAATTGTCATTGCAGTCGTCAAAACTTTTCATCGACACGAACGACTATAAACGCGTGCTCGGGGGAAAAAAAATTGATAAATTGATAAAACAATATCGTCGACGCGAGTTTATCGCTAGAGAGAGAGTCCTCGAGAAGTCTGCTCTTGATCATCTTCGACTGATTGCGCGTCTTGAGACGACGGAGCAGTTCACTGCTCAAGAATGAATTGAAACCTAACGAAATTAGGACGGTCACGTCGCCAACTCCTTGCCATGACTGTACAGTTCTCCGAGGACCGTAAGGTATACATCCTATCCGTCATTCCATCAGTACAGCCCGCAAATTGAATATTAATACTCGAGTTTCGTCGGCTGCCTCTAGCTGTCCCCGAAGAGGAAGATCGCGGAAAACTTTGTCTCTTTGAAAGCACGCGAAATTTCCGGAAGAAACTCTCTTTCTCCAAGCCTACTCGAAAAAAAAAGAGGAAAAAATAAGCAAAGATCCAATTTTTATACGTGAAACCGTGAAATTTTTACGGTTTGGTACGTTGCCCTTTCGACACGCCAAATGCGAGGTGAATGCCGTATTAATATACCGAGATATGTATTTTGTGTGTTATATTAATACACCGATACTCTTTTAC